TGGCAGAGGGTGGCCTCTCTCGCGGGCTCGCTCCGAAGAAGCCGCCAGGACGTGAGCTGCCCACGGAGGAGCGCGTGTGAGGCGCCGGCAGCAGCTCCTGCCAACAGCCGGCAAGGACCTCTCCAGACATGTCTCACGTATACTTATTGTTTTCAAAGCAAAAAAAGGAGCGTTTACGTGCAGAGAACGTCCTGGCCAGCACCCCCTCCCCTATTTCCTGCAGGTCAGCCACGCGCACGGGTCGATCAATCCTGAGCAGACACCAACGCCCTCTCCTTAGCAGGGGCTGCGCACACCCTGACGACACGCTGCCTCACACACGGCGACCAGCCTGCCCATGTGCTCCTGATGGCGCCTGGCACGTGCCAGCTTGGGCTACGTGGCAGGCAGACCACTGCCCCAGGCAGTGCGGGACGGCTTACCTGTGCCAGCCAGGGCTTTGGGGTGGGTTGAGGCTCGAACGGTCAAAGTGTGGAATAATTTCCAGAGTGAGCATGGGTAACCCCTCCACTCAGGTCGGCTTCCTTGACATCCAACCCAGTTTATGTGATTAGTAAGGAATATTCCAGAAATCTGAAAACAAAAACCCACAAAGAATAAAAGAAAATTGTTAAAATTTTCAGATTTGCCCCTATGTCAATTGGAGTGTACATTTTTCAAAACTCCATCAGCTGTACACGTAAGATCTGTACAAATCACCACGCGTCAATTTAAATTCGATACAAAACAACCTTGAGAGCAGAGCAGAATCTCAAACCCTGGAAGCGTGGCCTGTGTTCTCCACTCTCCGGGCAGAAGAGTTTGTGCCTTGACAAACCAGCAACGTTAAACACAAAGACACCACCTTTTCTGTTAAATCAGCGTTACAGTGACAGTCCTAAGAGAAAAGGCAGCTAAGAGTCAAATGCCCAACTCTCCAGCAGCCCCTGGCCAGGGCGGGGACGGCGCGAGCACGTGAGCAAGGAGACGCCACCGCCGCATGGTGACAGGCACCTCCGCCTGCACAGGGCGGTGGTCTCGAGCCTCCTGCTCTGCCAACCTTCCCCTCTGAGGGCTCGAGAGCCCAGGACCAGCTGTCACAAGGGAAAACACCACGGCGCTGCTGTGACCTTGACCTCCGCGTGAAGGCTTCACGTGCTTCTCAGCCGCTGGGGGTCAGTGGCGGAGCCGACAGAGCCTCGCACAGCAGCCGCCCCGACCAGGGTTCCTAGCGACCTGCCCGTGCTGGGGTGAGTGTGCTGCCCCGGAACGTTCCGGCAAACCGAACGCTGGGTTTGCCTCCTGCTGTTCCATTCCAAGGGCTGCTGCTTCATGACTGTGGGGACTGTCAGGAGGCAGCGCCCAGGCCTTGAGGGAAAACAGTCACCTGCTGGCACCTGGCCTCTGGCGGCAGCACCAGCAGGGCCACCACACTCCCTGAATACAGTGTTTTTGGTAATTCTGAGGTATGGGACCAGACGGGCTTACTAAAACTGAAAGACAAACCCTCGTGCCGCGCTGCTTCGGGAAATTACCTCCCCAGGACAGGCTGTCCCAGAACACTCGGTGAACTGTCCTGCTGCACAGGACGTGTCCCCACAGTCCCATCAGCCCCAGATCCTGCCTTTTCTTCCCTTTTCTTTCTGAGACAGGGTCTCGCTCCATCACCCAGGCTGGAGTGCAGTGGCGCGATCCTAACTCACTACAGACTGGACCTCCTGGGCTCAAGTGATCCTCCCACCCCGGTCTCCTGGGTAGCTGGGACTACAGGCGTGAGCCACCACGCTTGGCCTGCTGAACTGTCCCTAAAGTCCCAGCATGATGCCGCCACGTCAGACAGACGAGGGTGGATATAAAACTCCTGGAGACAGCAGCATATAAACTGCCAGGCTCAGCCATGGAGGGCAAGGAGGGCCCTGCGCTGTGGGGCACAGAGCGGGGTGAGAGGACAGCGCAGCGTTCAAGGGCCTGACCTTCCGGAAGGGGTCTGGGGCTCACCCGCATCTTGTTGTTGACCAGGTCGAGGATGGCGTTGTAAGGGATGCTGTCCAGGGGAAGGCTGGCCAGCCACTCCTGCAGCGTCTCCAACAGCTTCCTGACCGGCGGTCGGCCTGGGAACAACTGGACGAGGAAGGATCCACCCTGAGAGACTGTCTGGGGGAAGCGGCCCCTGCAGCCCAAGCGCTCCCCCAGGGCCTGGGTCAGAACCAAACCCCAGCCCTGCGCCCACCCCGCCAGCACCGGCGCAGCGTCTGCAGGGAAATGGATTCCATCAGTCAGCGGCCGACGGAGGACGAGGTCTCTGTAAGAACCCGGGTTCCTGATGAGACGTGGGAAACCCAAGGTGCTGCAGGGCCGGCGTCGGACAGCGTCTCTCCAGCACTGCCTGTGCCCACCCCCGTGCCCCAGCCCACCCCCACCACCTGGCTCCCGCCAGGCAGCCGCTTCACAGTGACAGGCCACCGGTCCCAGTGTGTGACTCAGTATCAAGCCAGCAAGGGCTTGCTGCCTCTGCCCTCCGACCCGCCCGCTCCCCTTGCCCTGGCCGCGCTGTCGCTGGCTGCGTGGAGGGCGTGGGGCATCCAGCTAAAACAGCCTGGGGTTCTGTCCTCCTTTAACAAGCAACCTGATTGGATGTTGCCTCACTAAACGCACTAATACAGACTGCCAACAGAACTTAAAACCTGAGCTAAACTCTTACTGACGGCGTTGAAACAGCCAGACTCAAAACATCCCAGCCTCCGCTCAGTCAGGGTCCCCTCCTACGCTACGAGGCACAGCTACCAATCTACCAGCACTACATTTACCTTCTTTTTTTTTGAGATTCTTTTTCTTTTTTACCAATTCCTCCAATACCCTCTAAAAAATTTACCTTCAGACGTTTAAGCACACTTCAGAGAAATCGCTAAGAACGATTTATCACTACCTTGCCGCCTTCAGGAGCCACCTGCACTGTGTGAGACCTGGAGTGCCGCGCGCAGCTACGGCGGGGGCCGGGGGGGGGGGAGCGCACGCAGCCGCGACTTGCTGACAGCTGGCGGCCACTGCCAGGGCCACGCCGTCCAGTGCTAACATGACGGGCAGATGAGCAGGACACTTTCTGAAGGAAAGGAGGCCGGCTGGAGATTTCTGGATTCTCAGTGACACCGTGGGTGAAGAGCGTCCAACGTGAATCTGAAACACCACTACTCCTTGAGACATAAATTCTGTGCCTTTATGCTTCAAAAATCCTACTGTAGAAGTAAGTTCTGACGATCCAAAGTGGTGACCATACATTATTCTACAAGGGACCTTACTTTTGGCCAGAGAGATCTTTTAAAATTCAGCCCCCTTATCTTTTAGACGATACAAGTAATTTAGGTCACAGCACGATGCCTGGTGACCACTAGACAAGACGCTTCCTCCTGCAACCAGCAGCAGGGGTTGGGGCTGGGCCCGGGGCTGGGCTGTCCGGGGGTCGGCTTGGGGAAGGCCACAGCCTGGGCCCGACAAGGCTCCCCTGACCATCTCCCTGGCGGATCCTCTTCAGCCGACCCTGGGCACGGCAGGGCCTGAGCCATGTTGGGCCACATCTCTGCCCTCCTTGGTGACCCAATCAGCAGTTTCAGATACCACATCTGTGCGATCATGGTCCCAAGGGCGGAGCCCCTGGTCCCCTCCCCGAACCTGGGTTGCTGCGGCCTCTGCTTCTATCTTCTGCCCTGTCCATGGGCCCCCGAAGAGGCTGCTGAGGCGAGGTCCGTCCGGCCCCCAGCGGGGGACGACCACAGCCTCCTGCCGTCCCCTCTCCAGGCAGCCAGAGCTCAGCCTTTCAAACGGTGCCCAGACTGCACCCTTGGCCCCCCTGCCCAAGCCCTGCACCCTCTACATGCCCACCGTCTACCCGAAAGCCGCAATTCCCCAGCCTCCAGCCCCAGTGCTCAGAACGGCATCAGACACAGAGGGGCGCTGGGGAAATGCTGGCTGAACCAAAGTGCAGACTCGAGCAGCCGAAAGAAAAGCCCAGAGTGTCTAATTGAGATCGGCTGATCCCCCATCAAAAACAAGTGTTTCAGACACCTGCTCCTCACAGAGCCCAACGCCCACACCCAGCCCAGACGAGAACAGCCCGCACCCTGGCAACGACGGTGACGAAGTCCTTGAGTGTCTTCAGCTCCGCTCCCGCCAGAGACTTGTGGGCCGCCAGCTCCACCCTCAGCAGGTAGTGCAGGCCCGACTCCAGGTCAGCCGTGTACAGCTTGGACCTAGGAGGAACGGCAGAGTCAGGCCACCCACCTCTCCTCGACGTCCCGCCCCGCCCCGCCCCGCCAGGACTCCCAGGGCCGCAGGGGTCTCTGGGTGGCCAGCGGCTGGCTGGAGGGGAGCCAGCTGCCCTGCACACGCAGACCCCTGCGTCTACCTTCAGCCCCCCGAGCGCCAGTCCAGGAGGAATACTTGCTTGTCGAATTCTCTCCAAACTACCGTTTCGGAATTTTCTTCTTTGTTTGGCTTTTCGGGCAAGAAAAGTGACTTTTTCCTCACATCTGGCAGTGACTTCAAATACGAGGAAAAGAACGATCGGAGAGGCTTCACACTGCGCGAAAGGAGAGGGCCATGGGGGAAGCGTCGCCGCGTCACAAAGTCAGGCCCCACTCCCACCCCCGTACTTGGGAAAGCTCCCCCAACTCAGTCCCCAGCACTCGCCGGGGGATGGGTGGGAGACGCAGTGACCACAACGCTGCAGCC